TGTGTGTGTGTGTGTGTGTGTGTGTGTGTGTGTGTGTGTGTGTGTGTGGTGTGTTGTGTTATGGAGAAAGGACCATATTAAAAATATTGAGACCAGTAAAAAGAGCCAGTTGGGGATTCTGATTTTTCTTTTTTGGGTTTAATTTTATTGTCATCTCTAGCCAATCAGCACTCTTTTCGTTTAAAAAAAAAGATATTTGCAAACCGGCACACTATAGGATGTGATTTCATCTTTCTTCTTATTCTACAAACATGTGCTAATCCATTTTGAAAAAGCTCAGTTTTCACCCGTGCAAGTGTAATTCAATATTAATGAACCTACAGCGTTGCACGATGATAATCATAATGGAATTCAAAATATTTTATCACCCCTCCTCCAACCCCCCCTCCCCCGCGCTCCATCTCCCCTCAACCTGGGCCATCACTAATCTATTTTCTGTCATTGTAGGCTTGGAATGGTGCAAGACTGTCTTTTGGAATGGCTCCTTCTACTGAGAATCCAGAATCTCTTACAATATCTGACCATGACCTTCTGCCTCTGAAGATAGACGTTATTCTTGAGTTTCTTGCAAAATTAGAGGATCGAGCACAATTTACATAAGACAAAAATTAGAAACTAGTTGAAGCAAGTGGGCCTTTTCCTCTACACAGAAGGAAATCTATATTGCCAGCGATAAAAAGCAGACTTGCAGGCACCAGACGCTCAAAAGTATGCATCCTAAGGTCCCTCTGGCGCGTGGGGGCGCCCAGTACGTGGAAAGAAACTCACAAATTTAACAAAGAAGATTTTTAAAAAAGGGAGGGATCAGGGTGCTGGGCAGATGTCGTTTAAGAGCAAAACTTCCCCTCGGGAAACTGATACTTAACATAAATAAAAACCATTATTAAGTATTCATAAAACCGGATAGTTAACATAAATTAGTGTAAAACCCTCCTCCCTGCCTCTACACGGGTCCCTCGGGAGCGGGTTCCTCAGGGTAGGCAACTGGAGCCTAATTGACAAGCCAGCTTTCCCTCTTGCCCTTTCCCCCTCTTCTCGCTGGCACCGTTGAGCCTCGTTACAGTTTGCTCAAATATTTGGAAGTGAATTTAGAGTCCTCCCCCCAACTTATGATTTTATAGCCAATAGGTGATGAGGCTTATTTGCATATTTCCAGTCACTTAAGCAGCTGTGGAGAGGGAACAGTGTCACACTCGGTTCCTCCTCCTCCGCCCAGGAATTCTGCCCCTTCTAGCTGTCCTGCCCTCCCCTTTTGAGGTTGACTTGCCTGGCGGCGCTCTACCGGGCTGCAGCCCTCCGGCGCCTCCAGCTCGCCCGCCTCCCGCCCGCCCTCCCGCGCCGCGCAGTTCAGCAGCAGAGCAGCAGGACGCCCCGGGAGATGGAGAGCAAAGCCTTGCTCCTGGTGGCCCTGGGAGTGTGGCTCCAGAGTCTGACCGGCGCGGCCGCGGCGGACGGTACGTTTTCGCGCCAACTGCCCTCCACCTGCAGAACGGCCCGGCCGCTGCCTCTCCATCCGAGGATGGGAGGGAGAAAGTTGGAAGGGACGCGCACTGCGACTCCCGAGCGCAGCGGGGAAGGGCGTCCCGGGAAGGCGGCCGGGGCGGAATCCAGGAGGAGCCAGGAGGGACTTAGCCTCCGACCACGCTGCGGGGACTGCGTCCGGTTCCCGCTCCTCTCTCTCCTTCCCTCCCTCCCTCTCTCCCGGGTTCTCTCCCAGCGCCGGCCATCGCAGGGAAGGGCTGGGGGTGTGATGCGTGGGACTGGAGAGACTCGGAGATCGGACGAAGCATTGGTGACCCGCTGTAACCTCCCCTTAGGGACCTGTGGTGCTGAGTGTAAGGCTCGTGGGCCAAGGTGACCCTAACTTGGCTGCGATCAGGGGTCAGACCCCCCTGGAGGCAGGAAGAGTTAAGCGAATGCGGCCCCATCAGGGGTAGGGGTGGGAAGACGGCTCGTCTGCCTTCCGACCGCACGGGGCACAGTCGCTCCCAGCGCAGGGCTGTGAACTCCCGTGGGAGTGCCGGGGACTGCGTGGCGCGAAGTCCTGGAAGGCAGGGTCACGCAAGCGTTCCTGCGCAGGGACGTGCTTCGCTCGGCACAGCTCAGTACCGGAGAAAACCCGGAAAGGGTGGCCCAGCCCCCAGCCGTCTGAAGCCTCAGGCCTGGGAGGGCAGGTCAGACCGTGTGCTTGCCGTGCTCCCAGGGGTGGCTCGCCCGAGAGCACGTGGGGTTTGCTAGCGCCATAGGGAGGTCGCGGCCGCCACTGTGGTCACAAAGGCAGTCACCTCCAGGGCGCTGCCTCTGTCTCTGCCTAGAGGAGGCGACTAAGGTCAGTTGCGAGTTTCTTTATGGCCTTGATGTCTAGACCTGCCCACAATTGAGAAGCCTGGCAACTTGAACCTTGCTTGAGCTAACAGAGCGGAGACTTAAAAAAGTGACCAACCCAGCCATAAAAAGAGGCTGGAGTTTCCCTGTGTTGCTGCTGGTGGAATCGCCATGAGGGTGGTGTCCCCTAGAGGTGCTCTAAGGTGGCACGTCCGCAGCCTAATCCCAGTCTTGTGGAGTCCTTGACTGCAGCTAAAAGCTCGCTTTATTTCTGCGTGTACTTGTAAACGTCTTTGCAAAGTGATCAAAGGAGAGAGACTCTCACACACGCCGCGGCACTGCGTGACAGATGAGCATCTCGGGTGTTTGAGGATACTGGATTCTGCCTCTCCAGAGGCAGGGTGTCTTTCCTCACGCTTTGCAACTCTGGTTTAAAAAATAGGAGCAAACTTGCAATTCCCATTTCAGAAAGCACACCGCAGCATAACACGGCTTTTACTGTAAACTCCCACAGAAAAGGTCGTCCACATCTTGGCTGTCGGTTCCTTCAGACACTCTGGACCCAGCTTCTCAGCTGCTCAGTGTCACTCTTCTGGTTTTAGCTGTATGAGCTCTAATGTTAGGAAAATTGGCAAGACTAAAAGCCCCCGGGGTTCCATTTGATTTAAATGGACACCTAAGTAATTTGCATAGTGATTTTGGATTTTGGCCAGCACGATTTTCCTGTCAATAAAATGTATTAGGAGATATTATTCCTAAGCAGCTATGAAATTCTTCATCTTCTCTTTCCGTTCTCCCTACCCTCCTTTCCTAGCGTGCTTCTTCTACCTAAGGTGAGAAAGGCGCAGCTTGGCGAAATCTCAGCTCCCCTTCGGGCTCTCCGTTTCCTCGTTCACTCTTGATTCCCTTTCACCCCATGAACAGAGTATGAGTATGAGAGGCATTGCCCCGAGGCGCCTTTTTCCCGGAGCCTCTCCTGGCCCCAGTCAGGAAAGCAGAGCTAAGGGAGGGAGCATAGAGGGTCCACGCTGTCTTTTTCCTTCAGCCACCACGCTTACCTGCAGGTTAACAGCAGAGTTAAATAAGTGGGCGATGGCAGCGGAGAAGCCAACGACACTGGAAGAGAGCTTGACAAGGGAGTGATTGATTAATGGCTGCCTTGGAAGGTGTGGGGAGACAAGTGGGGGAGGAGTCGCATGGAAAGATGTTCAGTTTCTTACGCAGTTATTTTTAGCACGGCTTCTCTGCTGGTATAGAGGACACCCTTATACTCAGTTGGCTGTTGCTGTTCTGCCAGACTGTCCAGCCGAGGAGACACCACATTCCGCGTTGTCTTGTCCCTTTTTTCTCTGACCACAGCCTGTGTCCGCGTTACCATCACCAATGCTGCACCGAGATAAGTATGTGTGGCTTCTCTGAGAAAACTGATGAGTTCTCAACCAGCTGCTGCCTCTTCACCCGATAGTGTTCCTCTGTCTTCAGCGTCACCTGTTGCTTCGCTAGATGCTCAATGCTGCTCCTTTTCTGACCAAGGTTCAGTCCCCTCCAACTAACCTTACCCTTCTCCATGGTTCTTTAACTCAGCCTAATTTCATCTCTGGGACTGTTATCCATATCAAGACAAATGTCTTTTCTTTGCTATACACTACATTTGAGCTGCCTTTTTGGAAACTTAGAAATGAAGGTTACATAGTAAAGGAAACACAGACCCTTGTGATTTGCCAACATAAACACTTCACGCTGGTGCTCAGTAAGGACATGTCTGGGTGGTTCTGATTGTCAGGGTAGTATTAACATGCTGGGCCAAATTCAGAATGGAGAGACTTTGAAAGAACATACCTCCGCTCTCCTGCATTCTTTCTTATCCTCCTCTCTTCTTCAGTCCCCTCCTCCTCTTCCTTCTTTTCTCCCTCTTGTCCTCTCCCCTTCTGTTTCCTAGCATGGGCTTAGTTTTCCAAGGAACCTAGCTAAAGACAGCCTAGTTGATGAATGCAGAGTCGCTGATACATTTCCTAGTCTCCTTAGCAACAGTCACCTCAAATTAGCTCAAGCTCACCTGCCATTTCTGTAGTCACCCAGGATGCACCTTGATGATGAACCCTACTATGGAACCATGTCTGGGGCCATCTTCTTACCTGTCTCTACATGTTCTTCTCAGTTGCTGCTCTGGGAACCACAGAGTTTGGGAAAGCACTGATGTTCAGGATTCTGAGCCATTCTTAAAGGACAGAAAATCCCAGCAATATGAAAAATTCCTCCTGCACAGACTAAGTAGCAGAAAGACTTGTGACTTCATATCTAACATAAAATTGAAACGATTGCCTAGCTCATTAAGCAGCACAATTTTCATGTGCTTCACACGCACACATACACACACACACACACACACACACACACCTTCTCATTAAAACTAAAGTGAAAGTTTCCATTGTGCAAATCTGTGTGATGATGGATAAATTACTGTTGTTTGTTTGTTTGTTTTTCAACCAGCATTGGCTCCAGTAGGTGTACTGGTTACACGGAATCCAACTGGGCCTTATGGATCTCCTTGTTCAACAGATTTGGGTTTTTGTTTTTCATGGAAACACACAAAGTCAGCCTTAATAATTTCACAGAATACCCATGGCCATTTCAAAGCCAGCAGGAGTACCAGGGCCACGCCATTGCCTAATTCTAGGATAAAGGAGATCACAAGAGAGTGTCATTTCTGGAGTTGTCCAAGGTAATCTTCTGCTGCAGCAGTGCAAAAGCAGACAGTAGGGGAGATGTCTGCTGGACTGCTCAGCTGCCTCTGCTTGAGAAAGACTGATCAGCAAGCTGGCAAGATGGCTCAGCAGATGGAGGCTCTACCCCTAGCCTGACCACCTGAGTTTGATCCCCAGATTCCACAAGGTAGATGGAGAGAGCAGACTCTAACCTCCGCACATGTGTAGTTTGCATGTGTGTGTGCATGCACACATACTGGATAAATACACTAATGTAATAAAGCTAAAATCAAAGACTTATAATCAAACACAAAAATCCGATTGTTAGAGAGGAGGATAAACTGTTAGAGGCAGAGAGAGGTGGAACCTAGTGAGGCCAATGTACTTTCATAGTTTCTAAAATAGTTTCTAAAAATAAAATAACTTGTTTAGCAGAATCAGATTAATAAGATTAAATGTGTATAACGTTCTTTTTCACCAGCTAGAAAGGTTAACAGTGTTTCTGGAAGGAAGAAGAAAGCCTGTATCATCAAATATGATGTGAGGTTGCACAGATTCTTGGTGGCAGGATGGGCCCAGTGAGTTACTGAGAGCTTTAAAGAGGAGGAGTTTAGCACAGTCTCTTAGCTGGATAAATGCTTTTAGAGCACTTAGCAACTACTGCGAAACTCATTCTTTCTAGCAAAGATAATCATTTCAGAAATGAGTTAAGAAAAATCTCCTGTGTTTTAGGTAGTGGAGATTGCTTGTATGAGTGCACATGCATGACTGAGTTACTGCTTATATTGAGTCAGTCAGCAACGAACCACAGCATTTAAAAATAATCCTTAAAAAGGAAAATGATGGCCAGTCCTCAGCTGACCACACGACAAGCCCAATCTCAACACCTGTGCTTTTGCTTTAGTGCACCTGTCCTGTCTTCTGGGCATGACTTTTGCAATGTCAGTTTGGCAGCAGAGGTTTCAGACCTTTATATATATAAAACTAAAGGTTGTAGTATATATATGAACATATTTAGATTGAGACATGGGTAGTGTCTTAATTATCTTAATTGTTCATTTCCTGAAAAATTTAAAGGGAACCATTCAATTATATATATATATATATATATATATATATATATA